AGCTCACTTTGTAACTTCTTTGTAAGAGCATCAGAATGTAATGGCTTGACCAATTGATATGAAATTTTGCCAAAAGCTAAAGAATACTGAGCACAATGTTTTGGTAAAAAATATTTGCGAATTTCCTTCTGGATTTTATTTTACGGGTCACGCAATTTCGCTTGTTATTTTAATGTAAGTTGAAATAAAAATTATATTGGGTTTATGACATATGGGTTTATCTCGTTTCATTTAAATAAGATAAACATATGTTAATTGTTTGTAACTGTTTTGTTTACATTTCAATGTTTACTTTCATCCTAGGTTAAAGTTGGAATGCTACAGTTTATATCAATGGAAGTAACAGTTTTGCTATATTTGTTTTGAGCATGCCTCAAAGGCCACGTCGTAATATTGGTCGTCGCACGAATAATGCAAGTATTGTAAGAGAGTGGCGTCGTGAACAAGAAGAACCAGATGAAGCAGTGGCGGAAGAAGCTGATAATGATAGGCAGTTAGCTAATCAATTCCAACATGAATTAGATGCACTAAAATTTTACACTTGCACTAACTGTCATCGCCAACAACTAACAGCTTCAAACCAATCACCGATTTGTTCGCGTTGTCGTTCAAATGCAACTAAATTCACGGCGTTAAATAATATGGATGTGTCAAGTGTCCCGAACGAATTAACTGACCTGACGATTGTAGAACAAATGTTGATTGCACGAGTACATCCTGCTATGCCCATTTACAAAGTACAAGCAAATGGTCAGGATGGCCAGTTTCACTACAAAGGTAAAGTATGAACTATCAGATAAATTTGACATTCTTTAGAACTTAAATAATATCGGGCAAACAAACGGTGAATCTGTTGAAAGGGAACATTTATTGTAGGGTGTTAGCTGCTTTAGCCATTGATAATCTTTAAATAATGCTTCGCTCATTTATGCGTCTAAAGTGTAATGGCAGACCACCCTAGTTTAAGCAAACGGATTTGTTATTGACTAATATTCTTAATGAATGTGTAAATAAAGAGTAATTGTCTGTTGTCTATTAATAAGCTTATCAGCATAAAAAACAGTAGTGTTACGGGCCTAGGGCTCTCTAACAAACATTTAAAGTTCTGCCACAACATCTCACATAGCTTTTTTTATGGTTCCAGCTTGAGGCGAAGAAAATTCATGCTATGGAGGAAGAGAAATTAATGATGCGTAGAGCGTTTGGGAACATGGCTCCTTCTACTGTGAAAGTAGGTTATTCAATAGTTGACCAATATTTTGTTTTGTATAAAGAAATGTTAATCCAAAAATTGAATGACTCAAAGAAAGAGGCAAAAAGTTATGAACGAGTTTCAAATATGTAGTAATGAAAGCTTAGAGAGGCTGAGAATTGTTGGTTTTTTACGTTTATTGTTATTGAGTTTATGGAAGATACTGTGTATACATGTTACTCAATAATTCAGCTATTTATAATATTTGGATCTCCATATTTGGAGATTGGCTGTATACTAACTGAGATCTATGTTTATAGTAGGATCCATCTTATACATGAAATGCAAGAGAATATTAATATAAATTGAAAAAAACTCTGTTTGACATATTACAGCCTTTTTATTGTAAATCGCTAAAAATACAACAGTTAAAGCGGTTTGGATTGAGATTTTGTATTCTTACTCCCAACAATAGTTACATAACAATAGTTATCATTTCTCCCTGTTTTGTCTGACACTGCTGCTCGTTACTGACAATTCTATTTCTCAGATAACCGAAGTGGATGACAGTGAGGCACAGTTCCGGGACACAGTCAGGGAGGAGTTGAAGTGTTTTGCCGACGATTCTTCGCGAAAGGATATTTTCAAGAGAGACCAGCAGTTTACCGGTGAAGAAGAAAGAGTTTATCTGGACGAAGCAAAAGCTTTGGGGCTGTACGCAAGAATTGTTGACAGTGTTAGAAGAGTCATCCACATCACAAAACCGGCCGACTACAAAGATTAGTCTGAACCAGCTCTATAGCAAAGAAAGCCCTGACAATGTAAACTAAATTAAAACACATGGACGTTACATAGAGCACAAGGGTCTAGGATTTTTTTTAGGATAGTAGGCTTATTTGAATGGAAAAGAGTCCAAATTGGCCTAAATCTCTTCGCAACTCATACCTTCCCGAGTTAAACATTCTGTCAGTAGCTGTGAAATATTCCAATGTTTTGCGTTTCCTATGCAATTTTAGACTCTTTTCCACTCAGTTAAGCATGCTATCCTCACAAAAATCCTAAATACAGACACAATGCTCGATAAAAAAAAAATTCAAATTGTCAATGAAATTACATTTACAACACACTGGGGAATAACAAGAGTTGATTATGTTTAGTTTCAAGTATTGGAACAACAAATTTGTTTACTCAGTAAAATCATTATAATCTAGCTCATGTGTTTCTAAATTAATCAAATTTATTCGTCAATAACTTAATTAATTAAAACAACCAAGTAAATACCTCACATCTTTAGGCTATTCTATGTTTAAAATGTATATTAGAGGATGACAAAATCAAAGTTGAAAACAATTTAACTTTTTTGTGGCGGAGTTAAAAAATCTTTATATTTATTATAAAAAAACTAACCAAACCTAACCTAAACCTCTTTGTAATAACAAAAGGATTTTGATTGATAAGGTTTCTTTTTGGATTTTAAGGGTTTTGGTTCTATCACTTAATGTAAATCTGAGTCCAATTTTTTTTCAAGGCTTAAGCTGAGTTTTTGGCTTTCTGTAATAGTTATATAACTGGTATGGACCTAAGTAATTTTAAAAGACAAGTGATGTCTACTCAAGTTGTTTTTTGCCTTAGAATGTTAACAACTTGATACTTTTTTGAACGTAATTGACTTTGGTTCACAAGTTTTATATTTTATTATGTTAAGAGAATTTTTTATTTTCATGTTTGTTAATTTGTTATGTAAGAGAAATAAATCTAAATACATTTTCTCTTTTGAAGACCGATTTTGTTTTGCTGTTATGCTTGTCTAATCCACGTTTCCTGTTGAACAGCTTCCACAGCAGCAGCTAGCCAGGTACAGACAGCTAGGTAGCTGTGTTTCTGTGTGTTAGATAAATTTATATAATGAAATTACTCTGGATTATAATTGTTTTGGATTGAACAAAATAGGTATGTTTGCTAACTAAAAATAAATCTGAATAGGTTTGGATGTGTGTGTATTCAAATAATTTGTTTAACTTTTATTAACACACTTTTACTAAACTGCATTTACTCTGTTGTTTTAGGGTTGTATTTTAAAATGTTACCGAATATGAGGGCTAATAAAGGAACGTTTCCATCTGGCGTCGATAGCTCATTTTCTATTACAGTCGTGTCTGCTTATTTAAGGACTGTTCAGCCAACAGTAAAAGTATCATTGTCGCAGTATTAAAGTTTAAATAAAGGGCATCACTAATCTAACATACTTTCTCCCATAAACTTGTCAACAAAACTTAGGCCCTACCAAGCGGTGGGAGTTACTTGGTTTTTAAGAAAATAAGTTGCAAAAACTTTTAAACCTGTAATTTTTACAGAAATAAGGGTTTTTTTACCCTTTGTGGACGGGTGACGGATATTTCCGCCTAAGTCTTTGGCGATAAAGGACTGGTGAAGGATATGTCAACATATGGTTTTTGATGTTCCGGACAGGAAGCGGTTATATCCGCCTTCTCTTCAGACAGACTAGCAGGTGCTTGAGCAGTAACCAGATGTTTTGCAGTACCAAGGTGCCACTTTCCTGCTCTTTCCAATGACTGCACTCTCCCCCGCACACCCCCCTCTCTCCCGCACCAACCCCTCTCCTACACCTCGCCCCCTCACCATACCACCTCGTATGGTGGTATCCCACCTACCACCACTTTTCATCAAAATTGTTTGAGCCTGGTTAGCTGAGTAATTATAGTACTTGCCTTCAAATCTGAAGTCGCTGGTTTGATTCCAAGGAAGATTGTTTCTGGATCCAGATGTCATTTGCTATTGGGCTATTGGGTGTTTGCAATTAATGATGTAAACAAAATTTAAACATTAGCTAGTAACAAAATCGTTATGTAAATAGTTCCCTCACTCTCACAATGTTAAGACATTTCAATGACGTAGAAACACAACAAGTGGACAAATATTGTAGTTTGCTGTGTTGAAAGGACAAATCACACAACCATTGATGCCGTGAACATTTGTATGAGTATAGAAAGTAGAAAATGAATGGACTAAGTTAATTTAATTTCAACCAAATTCTTTTGAAATTACCATTTAAGTTGATCGTGGCAAAATAATATAAAACTTACTTTTTGGTACTTTAAAGAATGAGTGTTTTAAATAGGTGTGATGTCTATCTAAATCCCATGCTATCATATAGCATGAAGATACGGTAGTGAAATAAGCGACAATATATTAGTTTCTTCATTTATTGCTATTTCACCCATTAACCATTAAAAAAATTACGCACAGATCAATTAAAATGCTTAACTTATGGACAATCTTATTGCTATCACGTTGCGTAGTTAAATGCTATCAAAATAAATAATTCTATTTAATCAAACAAACAACATTTATTTATCACACAAAATTGCTTACTATTAACATCCACAATCTGCTGAACATATTGAGCCTACTAAATATATTCTCTACACAATCGTAGACCTGGTGTAAGCAGTTACCATTTGAGGTAAAATGGTTTGATTAAAGAAAATTTCTAGTTCTAATTTTAACGGAGAATTTTTTAAAGGGATCCACAAAGAAGGAATTAAATCTGAAATTTTTTTAAAAACATTTTGGTAAAAATCCAATGAGACAGATGGAAATTTGCTTAGTCTGTTTGGGGTATTTTGAATTTTTTATACCAAATGACAAATGTAGAATACAGCCTTCCAATGAAAAGTGATCAAAGTTTTAGAAAATACAAGAACACAACTTGAAATTGGCCCTTTTCTTATTTTATATTAAGCCAATGTACATTCAGTTAAAACCAATCAAAAATAAACTTTACCCTCCCAACAAAAATCAATAGCAAAGCATTTGTAAAAAAAAAAAAAACTAAAACAACTCTTATGGGACCCTTAGTTTGTAATTTTCTTTGACATCAGCAACCATTCCCCAAGATAAGAAAATTACATCATGATTATGGTTTTTATTTTTCCTGGATCAGTTCAGCTTTTTCACGAATCAAGTTTTGCTCAAGAAGTAACTATAGGTCGGCCGCTTAGAAAACGACCTCCTCCAGCATTGGTTTAGCATCAGCGCGCAGGTTGTTTTCTAAGCGGCCGAACTATAGAAGTGAAAATCTACTCATAAATTTGTTTTTCTTACTAATATTTGGTTGCACAGTTTTGTCAGTTTTTTTCATTATATTTCGCCCCATCAATTTTTTAAGGAAAAAAATATGCTAAATTAAATTAACCACTAGTTACAACATAAATTACAGTGACAAGTGATTTAAAGTACGAATTTAGGATAATTTGACTTTGATCCTTATCATTTTGGAGACAAATCCATAGAAATTAGAGAGCAGTTGAAAAAAATAGTCTGGTTCGGCTGGGATTCAGTAAGGAATAGTGAGCATTGTCCTTAAATTAGGTTCTCCGCTGAGCTACCGTCACAGCCACGCAAGCTATATCAAATCCGAGTCCAACATCATGAAACGTTCCTTTTGAAAAAAAGTGAGTTCCCTTCAATTAACTAACTGTTTTCCCCGGTTAATAAGAGTGGCCTGGCTAGAAGTATTGGATGACATGAGAAACATGGCATTAGTTTCGGATTTGATCTAACTTCCTTTGTTGCGACGAAACTCAATGCAGACCTTAATTTACTGATAACTTCTCGTTTTCGGTAATTTAGACTATGTAAGGTAAATGTGGAAGGTTATAATGTATCATCATTTCATAGAATGGCTAGTATTTCACAGAATGTTTTCATCAGAACACACCAAACTATTTGTTCAAACTGTACAGAGCTCGAAACATTTCAAAAAGATTTGATAAAAAATAACTCTAGTTTGTGCTACGTCCCTGGCGCAAGTCTTCTTCATTCGTAGAAATCAATATATAACTGTTGGCAAATATTGCTGCAAGGAGGAACTTAATTGACTAGAACATACATGAAAGTGCTTTAGCGTCTGTAGCAATTTCAGTCTTGATTAGTTCATGAGAGAGGTGGCTCAGAGGGTGGTTGTGGTGGAGGGGAGGACGGAGGCTTGCCAGGGTAGAGATTGGCCTGGAGATCGAACCCTGGGGGCATAGACATGGGGCCTTGTGCCTGGAAATGAGGAATAACAATTAATACTTTTACTTGAAATGGCGACCATACACTAGGTATATAAATGAATGGAGATGAGTGGCGCGAATTGTAGTCTTGTTACTGACTAAGGCCGACATTTTCCTTAGACATAACAGTTAATCAATTATAAAGGTATGTGAAGAAACCAATTTGATTTGGTCACATTGCTGAATTCTTTTTTAAGTTTTATTGCTTTAAAGAGAGAGAAGATCGTTACCTGAAGATACGCTATGAGTCTGCGAAGTTCATCCAAAGCATTGGCCTGCATCAGAATATAGTTCTTGGCGAGTAGAAGCGTTGCTATCTTTGATAGTTTGCGGACGGATGGGGAGTGAGCGTATGGAATGACGCTGCGAAGTTCGTCTAAAGCATCGTTCAAGTCATGCATCCTCCGTCGTTCCCGAGCGTTAATGTTGAGGCGGACTGACTTTCCTTGACGGTTTTTCGGTTTACCTCCAAGACCTGACGAGCTGCTACCAGGCCCACCAAGATGGTTTGGAGTCAGTCTGAAACATATGAGAATTAATTTCCAACTGATCTCTTTTGAATTTTGAATGAGCAGAGCTAAAAATTCAACTTAATTTGAATTATTATAAAACTTTTGATTTGCGAGAATTCATGGAATAAGATCATCATTTTGCAATAGATCAAGGTATGAAGATGAATGTTTCAAACCTTTAAATGTGGTGACTATTAATAGTTTTTATAGGAGATGGTTTGATTTTAAATAAGAATAAATAAGTTAAAATATAAATCTGATAGAATAATATTACACAAATGATTCCATAATAATACAATCCACAATTGATTCCATACAGTATGAAGAGAAGAGCATTAAACGTTTCTGTCTCGATGAATGAAATGATTTGGTACTGGTTTGGGTGTTTACCTGTGAGAGTGATGGGGACTAGGCTCAGGAGTGTTCTCATCTGAAGGAGGTCCAGGGGGGTAGTAGTAGCCCCCCAGTCCCATGGCCCCCAGCGGGGTACGACGCCCAGGGACTTGGCTGGACTCACTGGAAAAGTATGTTCCACTCTCCATCTAAAAAAAAAATCCAAACATATACAGTACCTACAATAACAACTTTATATTTATTATATTTTTTTTTGTGTACGCCCATAGTCAATTTTTTATTCTGAAAGGGCGACCATCCAATTGTTAGTTGTTGGTCCTGTGAGAGCATAGATCACAATTCTAAAAATAGTTGATGATTTTGAATTAAAAGAACTTTAATCCTCTTTATTTTATCCAAGAGCTTCTGGAAATTCTGCTGAAGTAGGTCATGCTACTTTTACTTTCTCCCCCTACACCATAGTATATGGAGAAAAGTATTGTTTTCGTCAAAATTTTCGAGTTTGAGTTTTGAGTGGATATATCCGTTTTGGGCGCCCCTAGACCCAAAAAAGTAGTTTTCGAAGTGATGTCTGTGTGTGTGTTTTTTTTTGAAATTTTGATTTTTAATGGGTTTCCCATAAAAACCATAAAATAACGAAAAAATCTGATTTTATAAAAAATGGCTTGAACAATTTTTGATAAAAATGTAGTATGTTGTAGCCCTTTGAATTCTGAACAAAATGGTTTCACTACCATTTCTGTAAAAATGACGGTTCAAAAGTTATAGTAAATTATGTTATTTTCCCATAAAACCCCCATAAAATAATGAAAATAGGATATTAGAAAAAAAGCCGGGTTTTATTTAACTTAGTATGCTATGGTCCTTAAAATTCACGTTTTTCTCGTTTATTGAAATTTTGATTTTCAATGGGGATTTTCCCGTAAAACCCCATAAAATAATAGAAAAATCGGATTTTATAAAAAATGGCCCGAACGATAAAAAAAAGTATGTTATAGTCCTTTTTATTCTGAACAAAATGGTACAAATCCCATTTACGTAAAAATTATGGTTCAAAAGTTATTGTAACTTTATGTTACTTTTCCATAAAATAACAACGAAAATCAGATTTTTGGAGAAATGCTGGTTTTGTTTAAAACTAATATGTTATGGTCCTTATGATTCAAAAAAATAGTACAACACACCATTGCTGTAACAATTAATTACGGGTCAAAAGTTATTGCAACTTTTGTGTATTTTTTGCATGTGTGTGCGTTTTGAGTTTTTAACGACAAGGCCCATTCCAGTCTACTGGTCGGCTGCTTTCTTCAAGGTATCAACTATAAAATTTATTTTACTCTCGCCCCGCTTACCCATGCATGATAAAGGTTGTTGACGAGCTTATGGGAGAAAGTATGTGTCAGAATGCTGATACCGTTTATTTATTTATTCTCGTGGAATTCTGTTTTCTGATATTTTACATTTGGTTTGAAGACGATTTTAACCAACACACTTTCCTATTATTTTTAAGTTATGCTTTATTTTATAGTAATTACCTAAGTTACATGATTTACATGATGTGGTTTTTTTTCTGGCGATGTCCATAGTTAAATCGATTGATTAAAATTAAAAATTTACTATTAAAATGTTTTTAAATTTATGTTTTGGTGCAAATTTTAACTCTGTTTATCACCAACTTAACACTATTATACCTGATCGGTTACCAAATTTTTTATGTAGTTTGTTGATCGGTTAAACATTTTACCAGCCTAAAAAACTATACTTTCAGAGAATGGCAATATTTTAAGTTCTATGCTATTTCATGCCAATTAATAATGATCTGTCCTATTTTGCCTCATCAAAGATAAAGAAAAACTATCGACTTACAACTAAACGTCATGCTCTTCAGTATAGTTTTGCGGGAACAATCAGCTCGTTTGGGCAACATTTGTGTCAGTTCGAGGGACAATAGCCTCTCCCACACTACGGTCCATGATCTACCCCATGATGCGGTATCGATTTTCACTTTAGTTCCAATTGTCCTCAGACCCCTACTTGGACAAAGGACACATCGCGGGGGGGGGGGAAGACTGCCCTGATGGCAGATTCGAGACGGCAGTTAACAAAATCAGTGTGCTCGCCAGCTCGATCATGAGAAAAGTCAGCAAATTTTCGGTGGTTCGAAACTGGACCCAGCTGTTCTTGACAATTGGGGTTTTAATAAATAGTCCACCTAAACATAAGCACCGGGCATCCTAATCAGCGTCGTAAAAGTCGAGTATAATCGTCATTTTGTTGTTTCTGGACCGTCCTTTGTTGAAGATTCTTAATTTTTTTCCCTCGAAAGTGACCAAAGCAAACTGAAGGAATGATGCGTTAGTGACGAAATACGAGTACATGGTCAGAAATAAATACTAAAACACTTGGATAATATCATATTATCATCTGTTGTCTGGTAGAGGGAGTTAATATTAATGATAACTCTGGTTCCATATCCTTAAAGAAAAACCTCAAATCGTATTTGGATCTTGTCAGAGAACTGCCATCTTTGATTGTAAACCGTAGGCTTACAAAATTTTCACCAGTGGGAGGGAGATTAATTATTTTTTATTTGATACAAGTATAAGTTTGTCTTTTACAGAGAGCCAGTAACATTCATACTTCGAAGGGGGGCTACTTGTGCAGCAATTTCGATTCCTTTCCTTACGTCGGACACGGACATCATTCTGTACTTCTGTCCTAATTGATTCATCTCGCTGTGAAATCTTGCCATGAGGATTATGTCAAACTTGACAATTATTGTTATGCGAATGAGTGTCCATTGCCTCACCGTACCTAACACATAGCAGAGTTGACATGTATAGTATCTCTTTGATATTTTGTGCATGGAGTAGACCATAACTGTAGTGAATCTGGCTATTGATCTTGAACAGTAGGGGACCACCACGTTCATAATGGATACAGAATAATAAGTAACAAATAATGCAAATTAGGTGAGATGCGACGGCACTGTTGTATTTCCGAATGCTATCTATGTAGTGAGGTTTAGATGCGTTGTTATATCGTTCATCAAAATTGTATACAAAGTGTGATGAGATCTGATTTGAAGGAGCTCAACCTTCCTATTAAGTCAGCAGCTACTGAAAAGGCAACCACTTTAGTGCAAATAACCTCACAGTTGAATTGCAGTGTTTTACAAAAAATTTCATCCGAGAGCAAGTGGGCCAATGTCCAAATAGGCCACTGTTGTATACTGTATATGTAATCTTTATACTGTCGAGAGCACAATTTAGGGAAGACTTTCGTGATCGGATGCTGTGCGTCACGACAGGAACACAATTAACTTCTTCAGAAGACGATTCTCTGTGGGTTCAAAAGAAAATCAAGCCAGTTTATGAATTTAACGATCCAAATGCATTCAATTGATCTGGACCTTTTCATAGTTTACGAGCTGGAACAGTTTTATATGTAGCTGGGTAACCTTTTTGGTATTTTAAGGCTACTGTTCGATGCAATTTAGATGTTTTTTTATGTGGTTTCTGCCAAGTATCGCTGGTAAACCTGGCACATTCTGTTTGCTAATATATATATTTAGATGTTACTCAAATGTCCTCTAAAAGTTCCAGTTCTAATTAGTATATATATTATGGTTCCTCTTAGCTGAATGTATTTAGTTTCTACGCCCAGCCGTTCCCTTAAATTAGTGGGGACAAGTCATCATACTACAAAAGTCGATCGGTTTGACAGAAAACAGGTAATTTAAACCTATATTAGTTTATTCAGATGATCTAGAGGCCATTCCATCATGAAGTTTTTTTTCTCTATAAGAATAATATGCGATGGGACATTTAAATGGCGCTCGGCGCTGGGGCAGAGCCTTGAGGGAATTTACCTCGCTTCTCTTTTGATGGCTCATCTATACAGACCAAGACATTGTTTAGGCACATCTACCAAGTTCCTAAGCCCAGCCGTTCTTTCAAATTAGTGGACAAAAAAATACATCAGATGTTAAACCATACCTTGCAAAAAGAACTACAAAATTCCACTGGCGTGAATTCTGCAAACACACTATCCAACCATAATATCAATTACTAATAAACCACAAAGCTGTATGTCTTAACAATAAATACAATGCAATAATGATAAATCTGTAAGAATAACAGACACAAGAATATACCACAATAGCTTAAATTTAGGTGAAATTCGTAATAGAACAAAGGCAAATTGTAAAATTATGTCTCTTTAGGTAGGGTATATGATTTTGCTGTTCAAATTCGGGTACCTTACACGTGATCAAGAGTGTGTTTGTAATAATTTAATCAAGTTTTGTTAAAACAACAAAGGGAAGATTTAAAAACTGAGTCGATAACATTAGAAAATAGAACCGAGGTCCCAGTCTTGCGTTTAGAAAAACCTATTTGCAATCAGAATCGAAATTGATACAGTAAAGCAATGTAATTTAAATTGAGAATTACGAAAATCAATTCAATATTTTATTAAAACATTCTGCATTTGATACATATACAATTAAATAATTTATTTTGTACAGGTGATGCTACAATCATGGGGCATCTACTCAATGTTACAATACAGATTTCTTAACAATACAAGACATACAACTTTAAACTGTCAACACAAAAAACTCCACTCTTAGAATTTCTATTGATACATCGTACAGCAAATTAACTACTAAACTAATTTATATTATAGGAAAAGCAAAATAAATCCCTACCTTACGAGCGTGCACCACAAACAATGTTACGGACAGCAGTAGAGCTGGGGTAGCTTGCCAAGTCTTGCCAACCTAACTTCCGCAACAAACACTGCAAGTCCATCCACACTAAACTCAGTAGAAAAACTATATTTATCAGTTAAAACACTTTAAATTTGCTGTGAGACATCCTATGTGCCAGGGTTGTTTGATGTTTGGATGCTTAGTTCCGTCGGTCGCCGCTAGATGGGAGGGTTGTTTGAACATATGGCGTGGTCCAGGGACAGAGACGGTTGCTAGGCAACGCTACCCTCTCTCCCACCCACCGCCCATCTCACCCTGCGATCGTCAATATCTTGTTATAACAAGTGTTTCCCCTGAATTGAGCATTTGCAATTGTTTGCGGTGAGCTGGGTTCTGCAACAAGCTCGAGTAGTTACTTCAACATTCCTAAAAGTTGTTTACTTTACTCATTTTTTATCACGTTTTTAACGGCTTTGGATGAAAACATTATGTTTTTTGAAAATATTTGCTTTCATACTACTGTAGTTTACTAATTATAGAGTACACTACGTTACAGATAAGGGTGTGGTTCTTAAATGTAACCGTCTATATAACACTGAAATATTTGTGTAACTAGTGTGCAAAGTGGCAAAGACACTTTCGCGATTTTTCTACAGTTACCTCATAAAGCATGCAAAGTAGGTGGTTGCTGCATTTACTTACTTTGCCGCACTCCAGTATTCCAACCAACACAAAACAGTGTGCTTTTATTAGGCAAGTAATACGTGTACGCTTCAAAATAAGTTGGAAACACTTAGATACTACGACTACGATAGGCTGGTGCAGCGTTTCACAGCCTTAAAAGCGCCAAAGGGTGTTTTTAATGCAACCCAAATTATAACTACCATTTAAGACACTAACTTTTTAACGACAAACCCAGCTCTTAATTTGGTATCACTGTAGTTGTAATTATTAATGTTACGTAAAAAAAAAACATTCTCTATTCATACAACACCACAGGGATTAATGTGTCTTTTATAATCCCCTTACACTAGAACCAACTAAGAAGACGAGATCTTTCTTTTTCATTGTTCCCACAAAGACTCGCAGCATTGTTAGTTGAGCTCGATGTAAAAAGTTTAAGAAAAGTTGGAGTTTGGCTGTAACCCAAACTTTAAACCTTAAATTGGGGAGCTCTTTGAGACAAAAGGACTTAATAAGCCCGACAAGTTTAATTGTATCCTTCAGTTTATAATATGTAATTCATTCAGGACAATTATTAAAGACGAATGAAGTTGTCAGGTATCACTCTTAAAGAAATCAAGAGAACCTCCTTAAATGAGTAAATACGTCCCTAAGACTACATGAAAACGAATTAAAGGCGTTATAGTTTTGACATCTTGTTTATACACTAAAACTTTAGATTTGTGAAATTTTCTACTCTGTATGAATTTTTTTCGGTAAAATACTACTAGACAATTAAATACGTATTCCATAGGTTGGCTAAATTAAATTGTGTCCATAAACTCCGACAATATTTCCTCCGTTATTCTTTAACTTAACTTGAACATACAATATTGTAATTGTGTGCAATATAAACAAGTTCCTTCATACCCTAACATGTTTTGTGTTATGAAAGTAATAAAGTAAATGTATAGCTTTTTTAACACGAGAAACCGGGTTTAGCCTACTGTGATATTTGGTGTGCGATTTAATATAAGATGTATATCGATATAAGCTTTGAAGCATGTTAATTGTTGCATATTTTTTCAATTTTAACAAATGATAATTTCAACAAAATTGAATTACAAACGTAATATAACTATGCTTTCTAATATAAATTGCCCTTGATTTATTTTACATCACCTCACATTCCCAGTAAGTGCTGCGCTCTGTTCAAACTCATCGTGGAAGTTCTCAAAATCAACGCTAGGTTTCAGCACTCACAACAATACTATACTTATGATTTAAAATATAAATAATTGTGATGTTCCAATTCGTTTTGGTGACTTTAATAAAAAACCGAGCTAAACAAGTGTAATTGAAATCGAACGACAAAGATTAAGTAGTTGTTTCATAGTTATCAACAATATACCTAAATAGTGTATAGAGGTGGTAAGAAATTAATGCTTAAGTCAAGGTACTGGTATGGCGAAACTGAATATAAAGTATAAAAATATATTAAGTAATTGGAATGAAATCAACATCGTATTTAAGGAACAAACCTAGCAACAGCCACCCTTTGAGACTTAACATTACAACATACCGTACATAACTTCCAGATCCAATCGCGGAGAGTGTTATTGTTATTCAGTTTGTGCTGAATAATTCGCTTCAGACTGTATTCAGTTTTCATCTGTTTACTCAGGCGTTTCTAGACAAAAGCAGACATTTTAAACCTGTTGTAAAACTACATAAATTGATTGAGAGCTCGCAACACACACAAATTGAACACTAGCTCGCAATTGTGCCCTTTTCATATACTCGGATGTGTTTCGTCACACTATTGAAATCGACACGTGTAATAATTTAAGCTGGAAAATCAGAGTGTGCTTAAATCCATGGTAGAATGGAGTGATATGACTTTCGTAGCCTTTTTACTGACTATGATCAGCTGTGTATGTTCCAAAAACCATTTATTATCTCAGTCATATGGTTCTAGTTTTCAAACAAAACTAAATAATTCAGCCAATACAATATGTAAAGGGACTGTGATGTTCCGAAATATTTCAAACATATTGAAAACGTATTGAAAACATACTGAAAACATATTAACTGTCGCGTTCTTAGTCCTTAGGTGGTATTTTTCTAGTATTCGTGGGTAAGAGTTTCTCATAAGTAAATAGAACAATTCTAATAAGTAGGCCTATAGTTTTTTTATTTCAAGTAACTATAATGTCAACAAATGTTGTCGCAAATATTAAAACGAGTACTTTTTTGTGTAGAGGGGAATTGAATGAATGAATGAATGAATCCTTTTTATTTCATTACAGTACATCATTTACAATGGTACAAACAGCAATTACTGAAATGTAATCCCCAAATAGGCTAATGCCTGTGGTTGGGGATTGAGTCCATCAACCGCACAATAAAACAATAAATTTAGGCTACTTTTAAAAAGGGAAAATAATATACATTGTACACAGAATTTTGTTTACAAGAAACGATAAATAAATAAAAAAACTAGTTTACGAGGTAAATATATACAAAACGATTCAGTGTATGAAAAATGAATGCACGCATATATCACGCGTTCAGTTTGCACGTTAAAATATAGGAAAAGCCTTTTAAATATTATAAAATAAATTTCTTCGTAGATGGATTATTTATTTAGTTTGTAGTTTCAAAATTGTGCAAAGGCACATGAAGCAATACCTAGACACAGGTGGAAGGAAAATATTATAAGGTTAATTAAGTTAACCAAAACTTGAACAAGATAACAAGTGTTTTACAATCACAACAATGCCCATAACAGTTTGAAATGAACATTTCATTACTTTTGAATGAATTAAACCCCAAATTGTTAATATACGTTTGCTGAAATCTTTGTATAGACTACTCTGTAGTTTGAGGTCAGAGAACCAAGTGGTCCCAGAGGTGATCAAATGGCTCCAAACCCACCTATCTTTATAGCCTCTCTTTATATTGGACTCAGCCTCCTCCTTGGCTTTGGTTTAACTTGCCAAAGACAACAGTGGAGTGTAAAGTATAATGTGCTTGTAGGAACTTACGCAAGCCAGTATTTGAAATCGGTTACTATAAAATATTAATAAACTTAATAATTGTTTAAGTCGATTAATTATTTTAGGAAATTTTACAACAGCTGCTCCATACAAAAATGTTTTCACCACACTATGATGTTTTTGGCTGTATTACATACGTTAATTGGTGGCTGAAAGTTACATTTTGCTGGCCATGCCAGCTGTCATCGTAATTTGGGGACCGAGCAGTTTTTACAGGCCGGGGCCGCAAAATCAGCTGTCCGCTTACTTACTTAAAACATAAATGCATTTTAAATACACAATCAAAATCCATAGCATTGCAATAGAATTATTGTGTTATTGTCACCGTTGCCTAGCAACTATTTATTTTTATTTTTGCTGATTGCTCAAATTATTTCTTCACATAACCTTATAGTTGTGTTGACTATCAGTGTGCATTAGTGGTGAATAGTGGTAATAGGGTATAGTGTGGTGAAAAATAGCGTTCGTACCACGGACCGAAATGGTTTTGCAGCTCTCGATCGATTTAAGTTCTCGACTTCGTCTCGAACTTAAAAACTATCTCGAGCCGGCAAAACCTCATTTTCGGCCCTAGGTACGAAATATATTATTGTTTACCGACGAAGATTTGAGTAAACATCTTATCCTAATACAAATATAAGCAATAGTGTTTTTTACTCTAAAATTAAAGTGTACAAATACAGCTTCACCAGCTTTTTAATATTCTAATATACTATATAAATATTACTACATTGAAAAGAATATCACTTAAGTCTTAACAGGATGTTAAAAACAATGAAATTAGTTCACAACAGAATACTTAATAACTAATAAAACTTATATTTATTATTGACAAAACTTTTCAGAATCCAATAGTCAATATAGACTTTTCATATAGTTATAACTTACATATATTTGCAAGAGAACAATGCGCACAGACTTTTATACTATCTATTTTCTTTTTATTTAAATGTCATACGGAATATTGTTAAAAAAATCCTAATTTCAAATTACAATTTTAACTTAACTTACAATAGTGGATTTGTTTCTAATTTGGATCTAAAGTGTTTAGAAGTGAGGCTTTATTACATAGTTATCTTGATAGCACTCAACAATTCTTTTGCTAAAGAGACAAAATTTAAAAAAAATACGTTTGACTTTTTTAGTTCATATCCGTCAGTGATGAGATTATGAGACAAATTACTATTATTGATTCGTAGCGAACCTTAGACTCCAAGACGGATAAGTTCCATAATCTCGCAGCTTTAACACAGCAAGTTTAAATAATAAAACCTCGTGTTAGCAAGCTTATTTTATATAGATAAAATAAATAAAGCCTAAAAACAATTCCAGTTGACATATTCGCCCACCCCTGCGTGGAGCAATATTCAATAACCGATTCGGACCGAGTTTCGACAATGTGTCATTCACCCCGAGCGGAATTTTATTTCCAAACGAACAAAGGGTTTATAATTCGTCGATTCGGAGATAAAACGCACGCCG